GCATATAATGAAGTAGCAGTTAAAACATCGGTAAGTTCAGATCCCTTCAATCGCTCTAACAAACATTTTGTGCATTTGAAAGTAGGGATTCTTACATTTGGCATTTGTTAATATATAGTGTTGAAATGACCAAGTTAAAATAGACATTTAAACATCCGTTTGAAGTGTATTTTATTTTAGAAATGTATTTCTTTTTTAAAAAAGGTGCTAGGGTGTTTGTCTTTAATTAAGCTAACTTAATTTCATCGGTTTTTTGTACGCATGAGAATCGATTTATTGATTGATTATTGTAATTTAATTGCTCACCTGTCTATTTTTCGCAGTTAATTGATTAGGTCTAATTAGATTTCGCTTTTCGACCTTCTTGCAGAATAGCTGTTTGGTTAACACGAGGTGGAAGACACTTGTTTGCTGCTTAATCTGCTTTAATTCAGTAGTTAAATAAGTTTAACGACATTAATTATTTCTGATAGTTCTAACTGTACGCAATAGCATATTAATTTTTTGGCTAAAGTGCTTCAGTCGTGGACTACTCTTGAGTTATGCAGAAAAATGCCTGCGCCTCCTCCTCTCCACATAATTCCAAGTTATAGTAAACAGGCAGAATCTAAGAGCCCTTCTGTTAGAATTTATTCTAAATACGCAATTTTTAAGCAATTTGAAGAAATGCAGGCAAAATAGACGAAGTTGGTTACCTGGGTGAACGGAAAGAAGGTGCTAATCAGCCGAGACACACGTGGTCAGCGCTGATTAGACCTCATCCAGGAAATCGCCATGACCACAGTTCACAACTTTCGGCCTACCTACCGCACGCAATGCACTATATGAGAACGATGTGGAGGAGGGGAAGGACTGGGTGGGGGTCAAAAGCGGTTAAAAATCGATGCCCACGTGGGTAGCCAAAATCGATGAGCGGAGTTGCGATCAAGTGGACCCTAGACGGCTTATTCATAGTTTGGATTGCTGGTGCAATCCAAATGGCATTTCGAAGCGGGAAGCAGGCTTTAGGGATAGGAAAAAAAGAGCATCCTGGGCGAATAAATTGGCACAATGTGCAATATTTCAAAGTTACCGAGGTGTTTATTGCCCGGGTGTGCAAAAAATTCCACTACAATGGTCATAGATTAGGACCACTTTTGCTGTTGTTGTTGTCGTTAGGGTGGAAATTGATGGATTCATGAAAGAATAAAACACCTTTTTCCCATTAAGGTCATATCTGATTCTGTGAGGTACACTTTGACAGACGATCCCCACTTCAGCGTTGCAAAATATCAATTTCAGCTGCTTGGCATTTTTTAGAAAGGAATTTGAAAACTGTATTAGAAACTACCCCTTTCTCTGTAACCTAAAGTTCACCCATTTTCACTTTTTCTGCTTGAAAAAATACGTTTTTTTACTGCAGTGCAAAGCTTCAGGTTGCTAATTTCTACTTCGGAAGGCAAATTAAAGACGAGATGGCTAGGACTTTGGATGGGTGGGAGTAAACAACCTGATGTTGCGCCATTCCCCCTGAAGGCATAATACATCTGAAAGAACGCAAGATCTTTAGTGTTTTGATCAAAAATGTACAGAAAAGTTTTTGGTTTCGACATTTATGATCTCAAACTCCAATTGTGGCGCCCTATATGAAAAGAGGAATAGGCTTTACTATTTAATGCCACACTTATACCAGTTTAATCAGAAGAAATTTAAACTCAAATGGTCTACTATGAAACTTAATGCTTAAAACTGTGTATTAGGTAGGTTTACTCTCAAAAATTTGCCAACTTTAAAATTCTCATTCTAAAGTTTTTTGTAGAACATTGTCAAAACCCATGTACCTGTGGAAAATGGTTAATGAATAACCTGGGCGCCGATAATTTTGCGGCCTCCAACTTCACTTATGCTAAATCTCCCATTTTGACCATTTTTTAACGAGCAATGAGTTAGTTTTCCGTCTTTTGGTGGTTCAGGCGAAACAACCTGTCAATTAGAGGGGAAAGTTTTGTTTGGAGGCGTGCGCGCACTCTCCACTGATTGGTCGATGAAGTGCGCGCGTATGTACTTCCCGCAACCAACTGCTTTACGCCACTAACTGCGCCCTGATTGGTGTCTTTCCTTTTCTCCCAATCGATCGCCATGCAGCCATTGGCGACTGAGGCGCGTTTTGCGAATCTCAACAGTCAGTCCTTCTTGACGCCGCTTCGTAGCTGCTCCTGCTCTTCCGCGCACATCTTCCACTAGTCCTCTTCTTCCTCCCTTTTTGCATCCAAGCGCCGTACTCAAGTCTTTCCTCATCACTCATGGTGAGCAGTCTCCTCTTTAAGCCTTGATTATGCCTGGAGCTTCTTTCTTTTTGGTTGTTATACCGGTTTAAGGGTTCATTGGGAGTTTTGTCTTACTCATTGTACGCACATTAAGTTGTACATTTTGCGCAAGTGTTTTGTTTACTTTCTCTTTCAGCCATATGCTCATATATTCATACCTAAAGAGTTTTCTTAACTAGGGGAATTAACTCTTGCTTGGTGTGAAGGTTTATTATTCCTTTCATCGGATTTCGCTAAGTCAAATGTTTCGCTCGTCAAGATGAACTTCTTTGGTAGTTTTACTAGTAGAGACTTCAAGAACTACTAATGGTTTTTGAAACTTGGCAAATGTTATGTTGTGTTTCTTAATTTGAGACTATCTGGATTTTTAAAGAAGCAATTTTTACTTACTAAAATGGTTTTATCTGGTTTAAGACAAGTTCCGTCCTAATTTCCTAATTTCCTGTCTGCTGATACGAGAGGTATGAAAGGTTTCTGTCTGTATAGCTATGGCGACTGAGCTGTCTAATAAGATTTCAAATATTCTAATTCCTCTATCTACTTTGCTCGTCTGAAATCTACCAAAGGTACTTCAATCCACTATTCAACGTGGCACGATTGATACACAGGTTATTTGTCGTTTACGTCTTCGTGTTAAGTTTAATCTCTAAGAGTGCTTTTAGTTTTGCTATATTCCACTGCTCTTATTTCATAATATCGTTTCACATTTCAAGCCGTCAGTTCATTCGCCTCTCATTTTCCTGCTTTAAAGGAAAGTAATTGAAAACAGAGCCTCATTAGGAACACGCTCAACCAGGCTTTTCACTAGCAATCACTTTAATTCCCCATTGGATCTAGAAAGTTATTTTTGACGGTTATCTGGTTTGCTTTTCTTCTTGTGACGAGCAGCACATTTTCCAATAAACTTGGATTCGCTTTTAACTCGAACTTTCTTAATTCTTCTTTAAGTGGTCTTTTGAATGTCAATAGGGATTAAATTAACTCTCTCCGAAGTTAGTAACATGCACAATCGCGTAGAGGTCTTTGAAGACAGTTTTGGTAGTTTATTATATTATTTCTTATTTTGGTTCCATTAGTTGTTAATGCGTCATCATAGTACTAGTGGATTTCTAGTCGCTATTCGCATCGTTTTTGCAATTTCCTTTTTGTGGGCTTTTCTTGTTTTTTTTTTCCGTTAGATTGCCAGGAATAATAAGCACGACTTGCTTATATCCTGTAATAATCGGGTTTTCATGTGTTTAAATTGTTTTGATGTTTGTTTTTGCTTTTTTTAATAATGTCTTTTTGACTTCTCCATTCACACGCTTGTCTAAGCAGACGAGCGTGAACGTGCAGGCGTCGGAGTTTGCTGCACGCTACGTGGACCCCGAGGGTGTGCCGATTGCAAATGCGGGGCAGGCACTGCTCGGCGCAGGATCAGCCTCTGCCTCGTCCTCCAACGCGCCCAAATTCGGCACCCTAATCCCCAATCGCATCTTCGTGGGCGGCATCCCCTCCAATGCAAGTGTTTTGCTTTCCTGCTCTTTTCTTGGTACTCCACAGACGGTCTCTTTTTATATCGTTGTTTCTCGCACAACAAAGTTCCGTCCTTAGTTCTCGTATATGTTCCATTTAAAATAGCACACTTTTCATCGATTTCTGAGATGCTCACTGGTTTAAAAACAACCAATCATCTGTCTTCTCATACCCAAAACGAAATTTTAATGACTAGCATTAGAGGCAGCTTTTACTGTATTCTTGGCAGGTCGTGAATGCCCGCAATAGCTCCTTAAATGTGATTGTCCCTCCTCATTAACCGCGGCCTGGCTATGTCGGACTTCCAGGCGTAAAAAATTAGGTTACGGATTCTATGATTTTTTTTAAATGCTCCAACTTGGCTTTAAATTGAAGGCAAGGTAAATTGAACCATCATCACCACTATCGCTTGCTTAGTCATGAAAGTTAATATCCTGACACAATTGTCGCGTATTATGACCCTTTTACTGATCCAATGGCAACTTATTAGCAAAGTCAATTTTAACATTCAACAGCGTCCTAGATTACGACTGTGTAAGTTCTCTCCTTAGATTAACTTCTTCATGACATCATCATCTCTCCTTGCTTCACCCACTTTCACTATTTGTTCAGATAAATAATGAGTTCGCGGGGTCGGTGGTATATAGCCGGTTTAGTTCTCTCCAAGTAAAAAAGCCATTAAACTCGTTTTCTAATGAGACGAAGTTTTGCCTGATTTTTTCTACGTTTTTGGGGTCATTCTCAGGACTGGTCTGCGGCGAATTGATTTTGCTGTTTGCCTAAAATGACAAAACAGCCCTCTTGAAGTCGCCACTCTCATTTCTAACCTTCCAGACTACCGAACAGGAGCTCAAGACGTACTTCTCCAGCTTTGGTCAGGTAAAGGACGTAAAGATCATCAACGACCGACTCGGCGTCTCGAAGGGGTACGAATATTGTGCACATGTTGTGGGCATTATTTTGCCCTTCCTCTCTCATCATTCCTCTGTACCGACTTAGGAGCTACGGATTTGTCACATTCGAGAGTCAGGAAGTGGCCGAAAAGATCATCAAAAACGAGTCAGAGACGCTCATCTTCAAGGACCGCAAGTTGAACATAGGCCATGCCATTCGCAAACAGGTGAGCTTCGCCTACCTTTGTACGTGTGCGTGCGAGCGTGTTGTCCTGGTGCGTCCTGCATGTCTACAGTATACGCTCCTCTCTCCCCTCCAAATTCATCTCCATTTCGTCTCACCGTTTTGAATGCATCGTTCCTTCTTTGTGTTTTGGTTTGCAGCAGCTCTTCCCACGTCCAGGTATGTTGGTCGAGCCCGATTGTGCAGCATGTGTGCGTGCGTGAGAGTCCCAACTCGTTTTTGCGGTGCTGCGCATGGCTTCGCGCTTTGCTCACTTCTCCACACGCACATCCATCTCATTATCGTCATTTCTTGTTGTTTATTTGCTCAGTCGTTATGTCTTTGTTTCTTTGCTTTTCTGCGTGTCTTGTTTGCCCAAAAAACGGATCGTCTTCCTCATTTTTGTCTACTTCTCCCCACTATCGCCCTTCAACCATGTGTCGATTTCCTCGATTTCAGCTGACGTCCCACCAGCGCTATTTTTCCCCGGCGGAGCCGCAATTCCCTGCAGCTTTCAAAGTGGAATGCCAATCTTTCCGTTGACCGGACAAGACTACTCAGTACTTGCACAGGTGAGTTGGCTCAATTTTTCATGCAATTCGCTCTAAAGTCCTAACTACTTTTTCCATCACAGAAACAATTGGTCACTTATGATTTCAAGCTAAATGTTTTCATGGTTTCGTATTCGAAATTGAAGTATTAGAGTCGAAGTTTAGGAGAAGCGCCCAGACATCTCATAATTATTGTCTTAATGTGATTCTTTGATACTAAATTGCCATCGAAATTATTGCAAAATTCGTGACTTCATACTCTACGCTCGTTTCGGATTTCGGGGTTTGAAGATCTCTCAAAGGGTTTTCTAATAAGGGCTATGCTCTCTTTTATAAAATTAAGTTTCAACAGGTGAAACCCCATTTCAAATCCACTGAATGGTCAATTAAACTGGTTTCAGCTCAAAGACGTTACGCCGAGTTTCTCGGAATGTTGGTACAAAGCGTGTATTTTGCTTCATTTCCACTAACAACTTGGTGGATTTTGTTTAGCGGATGATAACTCATAAACTAGACATCTGTATAAAACTTCGGTTATTATTTGCACTAAAGATTGTCATTTGCGTGGAAGGGGATCTTTGTAGCTCTCCAAAATACTTTAAATGTAGCGGTGTTTTAATTCATACGCACCGAAATTATTTGATAAGGAAATGTTGAGCCATTGCGAAAGTGAGAAGTGACAATCTGGCAGCTTTATTAATTTTAGTTTTTTTTTAAAAAAAGATTGCATTTAAATATTTTAAGGATTTTCGGAATGCATGATTATTTAAAAGTGTCATGTTGCTTGGTACCTTGGCTTCCATTGTACTTTCTTGTCTGGGAAGTTTATACTTTAATCGTCCTTAAAAACTCATTTCTTTTGCAGCCAGGCTCGACGTACCAGCAGATGCTCCTGCAGCAGGCCAACGGTGCAATGTATCTCTCACCGCAGCCAAACCAACAGGCAGCGGCAGCAGCAGCAGCGACGGCAGCCGCAGTGCAGTATTCAGCCCTTCAGTCGCATCTTGCCGCCCATCAAAATGCCGCAGCTGCCACCTTTGCCACACTCCAGCACCACCAACAGTACCAACAGGCCTCCCTCACCGGTACGCCATCTTCTCTGCCCTCCACGCCCCTTTCCCCATTTTTATGGAATTGTGCCTTTCTCACTTAAAATGATGATATTTATGAAAGGAGGTCTCTTTTCATCAAAATGTGGGATTGTAATTTGACTAGATAGTCAGTGGATGATTTAGGTTGTGAGGTTAGACATATTCCTTCACATCTGGCACTGAATCACATGGATGTGAGTGATTGTGTGAATAGGGGCCTTCTGCTACCGAAAGCGCAAATGTCAAATAAGTGAAGCTATGATGTATTTCCCCAAACCGAGGAGTCTTACCAATGCAGACTTTTTTTGTCACCTAGAGATTCCTTTCCTTCGAATTTTCTCATAAGAAGATTTACCCAAAGGAACCTGTTCTGGATGCAGAGAATACATGAAACTATGTTCCGAAAATTCCAATTATAGAACAGATTGCAGTCACTAAGATATTTCGGGACAAGCTCATTTCCCTGATTCCACTTTCCTTGAAAAATTGGTTCTAGTAAAACTAGTTCTGGGGTTAAATTTGTTGTTTTTCCCATTGCTACTGAGCCTTTGAAATCACTATTTATAAAAGTGTTAAAATGACTTAAAGGTAACGGATTCATATCTCAAAACCTAGAGTTGTATTCTTTAACTGACTCCATATATCCATATGACTTACATATCCCCTAAACCACATCTATTTCCCTCTCGCTTGAAGCTCCATTGGCAGCTGGGGGGCAGACTTCGCAAGCAGCGATGATGGCAGCGGCAGCAGCAGCAGTGGCGGCGGCCTCTCAGTGGTCTAACGCCGCCAACACGGCTGCGAATGGTCACAACTCATCTGGCACTACGTCAGCAGGTCTACCACCTCCACCACAGCTGACGCCGGCGCCCTCGGTGTCGGTAGGACAGCATGCCCCTGCAACGCTGGGTGGCGCTGTAAGTGGTAACTGTAATGGCGTCCTTGACGTCACTCAATCACCGCAAGTGGCTGCGCTGGCAGCTGCTGTGGCCGCCCAACAACAGCTCGCTGCTGCTGCTGCCGCAGCCGCAGCTTGGAGGTGGTCCTCGCCTTCCGCCGCCGCTGCCGCTGCTGCTGCCTCGCAACACAGCAGTGGTGGTAGTGGTGCTCTCCTCGCACCCTCTCCCTCGGCTCTTACAAATGGATCTGCTACAACGCCTACAGGACAGTCCGTGTCACAGACTGCATCTCAACAGGTGAGTGGGGGTCTTTACGAGAGCCTCTTCTCGCGGTTTCTATACCAACATCATCAACAACAACAATCGGCTTTTGGATTGAGTGATGCTGCTTTGATGACTCCTACGGTGACTGCCGCTACTGTTGTTGGAGATTCCGGAGGGGAAGAGACGCGTTCAGCCAAACGACCCCGTCTCAAAACCGATGACTAGAACCAAAGCTTTCTCTCTTCCGATTTCCCATGTATTTCTAAACCCTGTTCTCCTCTCTATTCAAGTTCCCATCCCCTCTCTTACCCCCGTTAAAATTTGCGTGCATATGCCCGTGAAATGAGTGAAAAAGAGAGCATATCATCATTGGCGTTGCTATTATCGTTGTACCCATGTGCAAATCATCTGATCGCGCGTTTCTGTGTTTGGTTGATATAGATCCACTCTCACGATTTGCCACTACCACCACAACAACCACATCATCAACAGCAGCAGCTGGCTTTCCTGCCGAACACTACCACGACAAGCGACTATAGCACTGACCACAGTGCCCATTCCTCGGGCCTCATGGAGTCGGTAGAGGTATGATAGTTGATCAAACTCGTCGTCCACACCACCAATACACGTATTCGAGTTTAAGTGTTTCTGCTGACGCTGCTACTGATTGTGCTGTAGCCCAGTTCGGTTCCTAGTTATTTTCCCATACATTACATTGCTTGTGGTACGAACAGCGTTTGCCAGTTATTTCTGGTTTTCGCTTTCAACTTTCCTCTTTCTTCGTCTTCATCGCCAAGTTCACGTTATTCCACCTTACTCTGTGGTGACTTTTCCGCTCTCCGTTCTTTCTTTCTCCCTTCGCTCCCATTGTCAATGTATCTATCTATACCTCTCTCTCTCTCTCATCCTTACAGCCAAGTATTTTTCATTGTGACGGCCTAATGAGTCCACCACAACAGCTGCAGCCGACGCTCCTGCCAACCGCGGTGTTCGCGCCGGCGATCTTCGAGGGCGGTATAGCGGCCACCTCGAGTCCCCTGCTAACTACCCATAGACACCTTGTTTCACCGTCTGCCAATAACAACCACAACAATACCAACACCACTATAACTGTCACTCCTACTGCCACCTCCACCAACGGCAACGGCAGCTGCACCAGCAATTGCGCAGGTCAGACCTCCTCCCAACAGGCTCCCCAAACTCCTCACCTTTATGGCACCCCCACTCCCCAGGTAATTGTTCTCGTTCACCTTTTCCATCCACTTTGCATGGCAGCCGAACAAATAGTACAAAAGTAATGAGTAGGAGTAGCAAAACGGGAATTGGGGTGCCATAAAGACTGGAATGAGAGAGGGACGACCATCAACTTGTTGGGAGTTGTCTGATCCTTTAGGTCCATCTATTTGATGTGTATTCCATCTTTGTGGCACTCCGAAGGGGCTCTTTTGACAATCCTGAATTTTTGCCTTCCTGCGGCTTTCCCTTTTAGCCCATCATTCTTGATGTTTACTCTGGCGCCGGCGGTGGTATTCCACTGGCTCCGTTGAAGCAGACGTCCCTCTTATCCGCAGAGGGTCTCATGGTGGTTGAACACACGGGCGGCGCCTCTGGATTAAAGCAGAATGGTGGTGGTGGAGGTGGCTGCGGAGCGGGGGGTCGTGGGGGCGCGGGATCCAGTCCCAAGAAGCTGACTGCTGCAAACGGTACCACTACCAACACTCGCGCCGCGATCTAGACAGACTCGCGGGCAAGCACGCGCCCGTGTACGTACAAACGTACACGAACATACTTTTTGCATTCCACGGTCGCCCGCCTGACCCGCGTACAATTTTACCTCCTCTTCCACCCCCACCTCACTCACACATGCATCCATCCACACAAACACATGCATACACGCACAAAATGCAGAATGTTTGCTACTACTGCACAAATACGGAAATGATGGAAATCTTGGGTATATTTATACACACATGCACACTTGCCAGCAGTGCATTCTTCCATCATTCTCTTTTCGTAATGTCCTTGTCACTAGCGCTTTTTACTACTACTACTACTACTGCTATTTCCCTTATTATACTCTCTCTACCTCTGCCTAGGTCTCACCTTTTGCCCTTCGTCTATCGGTCTGACTGCTTCCTTGTGTTGTGTGACTTGGTGTCGAGACGTCGTTGATAGCTTTCCCGTGCATCCGTACGAGCGAGCAAGAGCGCGATATTGATTTTTATCGTCGCTAGGATTGTGTAGAAGGCGTTCCAGCTGTGCTCTCACTGCATGAGTCATTGTCCATTATCCAGTAAGGGCAAAGCAGCGAATGTTGGTCGTGCTGATGATTATGTTGGTGGTTTGTGCCAATTTGTACTTTTCAGTGTTTTTAACATAGTCGCCGTCCCCGAAACGGTTTTTTTCTTTTGCTTGCTCACTCGCTTTTGCGTTCTATTCGAGCCGGTGACAGTCAGTTCGTTGAGTGGAGCAAGTGCCTCTTAGTCTTGGTCCTCTATCAAACAGGTGAATTTGCCACAACTGCGTCCCTCCAGCGAAGGAAAAGCGCAAACATCTGCTGCCAATCGCATCATTTCCAAAAATCTGCAGTCTCGGAAACATGGTCGATTCTCACAATTTCGGTAGCATTTTCATGTTCACTTTTACACTTCGTCAAAGGGATCGGATCCAAAGTTGCGTTTTTGCTTAGTGACATTTTCACATAATAGTTTGACGGAGCTTCAAGTTGGCAGTCACGATACATTCCAGGAGTTGGGATCTTCGAAGTGAGGTAATGTGTAGTTGGAAGAGTCATTGGCGTTTCACAGGTTCCACGTTCATTTATCGATGTGAGGGCATTGGTTTGCCATGGTTACGTGAAATTATCAGTGTCAACAATCATATTTGAATCACTGGGTGTCAGGCTTCCAATGGAGATGAAGAATTCAAAAACTCATTAGTTGTAATTTGGCGTTATGTTAATGCAATAAAGCGTGCCGGTTAAGCCGTCTGATGTTACACAGAGAACTGGCTTGGTCTTGGGACTTCAGGAGTTACTTGGACAAACCACACCTGTGTGAGCGGCAATCAGTGGTGTGTGTTCAATCGCTCTTTCTGTCGGGGAAGAGTGCGCCACAGCTAACACGGTGGACACTTTCTCCGATGCTGCCACGTCCAATCAGGTCAAACCAAAGGAATTGCGGGAACATCTGACCAAGTGTTTTCGTCTGATGAACTTAAGGGAAACTTCCCCGAATTTTTGCTTACCTTACCTGCTATGTAGGCGCACGACTGCTCTAGCCAATACCGATGACCACACTTCCCAACCATCGCATCAAAACAGCACGAGTCAGCAATGAAGCCGACATCATGGCCGTGCTTGTATCACAGTAATTAGGCTATTAAAAGGATGTTACGTCAACTTTTGCATTTGGAAGGTGACCACGCCAAACGCGCGGATTCCTTTATTCGCCGTTTCAATGCGCGCAGTGACATTTTGCCCATCCATCAGCCCACTTGGATAGGCAATTTCAGGCGACGCATTTGACGTTACTGCTGTGCGTGTGTGGGTGCTCAAGTGGGTATACATGAGCTGTAGCCGCCTTAAGTATCGGTAACTGGAGTCAATGAGTCAATCATCTGAGGTGTGACCTCTCCACCTTAACACTAATCGTACAGGCTTGTTTTTGGCCGGTTTTTGTTGACGTTGCCGCTCCTGCTACCTTGATTGTGTGCGGTTCACAGGTCTGACTAAGCCGCCCACCCGCACACACACACTCTCGCCTTCTCACTGACCAATCCGTGCTACCTTGGTGCCTGGGATCTTGTGTGCGCATGCAAGCGTGCCGTAGTGCTCTGAAACGAGGACGCCTCTACTTGCAGTGTTGGTTGGATCCTCGCCTAAAAAAATTCTGCCTAAATCCCACCTAGGCGTAGACACTCACTTCTTCCATTGATTTTCGATGCGTCGGCTGGGCTGCAGTGCATGAACCGCCTCCATCATGCGCCTAGGCCAACCACAATCCCGCCCTGTCCATCATTGGTCCAACAGAAAAACTGGGTCATTTTTTTCGACTTTTCCGTTAGAGTTCAGGTCGGTAAGATTGAATTAGCACCGAGCACTTCCAATTTGGCCATTGGAGCTTCATGATCCAGCGCGTACATCACGGCCTTACGTGAAAGAGCAGAGGTTCTCTGATGTATGATCACCGGTGCGAGCTTCGACACACGAAATCACTTAATTGGTGTGAAGCGACGTCAATGGCAGTCGACGCCAAGCGGTGCCTTGCGTTCAAAATATGCTTATTTAGAGGCGGAACCTTATGAATGGAGGCACTTCTGCACTGGGTAAACTTTAGTTTTTAATAACCAACGTACTTATAAATTTAAATTTACAACTATTGAAACCTTGCTTACTCTCTTTGGAAAAGGAAGGTGTAAGCTGAAGAAGCCAAAAAAAGGTCAGCAAAATTCTGTATTTTGAATTAGCAAACTTCTAACAACCCGACAACATGGAAATTGCTTTTGGCATAGAATTTGGTGGTGATTAAGTGGTAGTTCCGTTGTAGTACGCTGCTTAACTCTCCGTTTCGGTAAAGGGGGCCACTGAGGCGCCTCGCCATTGTGCCTTCGCCGGGTGACCTGGGCTCGGGGCCATGTCAGTCGCCCCAGTACCTCCTGTGCAGCGAATATACCTATTAGACCCAAATGCTATATCTTCAGGAGAATCTCGAGGTTCTAAATCTCATTTTATATAATTCAAACAATCTAAGAATAAACACAAATCCAGTCTTTTCGAATCATGCTGGCAACTGTATAGGTTATTTAGTACTATTTGCACTATTACAATGGTAGGTGCTATGGGCATCATTTTGACTAAAAATGCTGACACGAATTTCATCTTTTTGCAATTATTCATAAGGATTGTGGGTTCTTCAGTACAAAAGTCCACTAGGTATGCTCATACGATAAATAATGGAAAAGAAGGACCATTATGTACATTTTTCCGCTGTAGCCAAGCCATTTTTTCATTTTTGCCTACTAACAATGACTGACAGAAATATTGGTTAGCAAAAACAGGGTTAGGAAAGGACGTTTAATAAATTTTGGAAGCAATAATTAAAAAAAAGAATCGGGAATAAATAATACAGCAAACAAAAAAACCAACAAATTTACGCCCAAAGGTTGCCTTGAAAATTAATATTTGAGTAGTATGATGGCATTTTTTATTTCTCTGATGGTTTGCTCTTTCGGATGATTTGTTTTAACCGACTGCTGCAAAGGTTGCCGTCCAGCAGAATTTTCCCTGTTCGTTGCACGTGCGTAATGGTGGGTTGTGCTATGCTAGTAATTCCTGTCATTGCAGGCCGCCAAAGCATTCAAGAACTTTTTGCCTCTCTTTGATCGCGTTCTTGTGCAGCGCTTTGAGGCAACTTCTACCACTAAGGGTGGGATTATGCTTCCGGACAAGTCTAAGGGAAAAGTTTTGGAAGCAACTGTTGTCGCTGCTGGTCCAGGCCGTATTACTGAGGTTTGTCCAGGATTATTTTTTCTCTATATTTAATCAATTTTCCATCTAGCACGGCAATACTGTACCCATCTGCGTTAAAGTTGGTGATAATGTTTTTCTCCCCGAATACGGTGGCACTAAAGTCATCTTGGAAGAGAAGGTAGTACCTGGTTTTTTCATCTATCACTATTCCTCTATTTATTTAGGAGTACTATCTCTTCCGTGAGTCGGACATCTTGGCAAAAATACAAGAATAAGTTGTGTACAAACTATTACAAATGCGAGTTCCTGTAGTCAGCGTTGTAAATCTGCATTTTAGCAATCTACTTTCATACCGTTCGCCCTAATGTCTTTTTTAGTGGTTCCGCTGTAGAGGAGTATTTTCTTGATTTGATGGTGACTAATCCCTCCCGAACTCGTCTCGATGGCTGACTCTAGGTGTTCTTAGTTGACGTCGATTTTCTAGGGGTGGGGGTATTCGCGATGTCTTGTGGCTGGTGCCTCGAACGGCTGGCCGTTCTTTGGCTGGTTTGACTTTTTGAGGTCGCCTTTTTGACTCAAGTAGGATTCTCACAGAAACTTTGGGGTAGCTCCTTAGTTGGACGGCTTAAACTTAATAGCAATCAGGGTTGATTTGGACTGCCTCGTTCTGATCGCAGTCGGTGAAGCACGTTTGTGGGTGCGGCTACTTTGATTAGTTAGTTCATTCAGCTTGGGTTCGCCTCTCTAGGCGCTGAGCATAGTGCTTAGGCATGGTCGCTCTTCGGGTTAGCTTGTGGTGTCTTTTGCTGCTTGCCCAATTCCACGTCGTAGTGCCCCCCCATTCGCATTAGTCACCACCTCGGGTTCTTACCTCACGTGACCCCGTATGCCACGTAGCGTTTTGCCGACTAGCCCTTTTATGTGAGCAGGTTTGGATTAAGGTCGTTCACCAGGGCAAAACTTTTCTGAAACTCTCTGTATTGTTATGCACTGCTTGTGCTGTGCAGGTATCAGCCAGCTAACCACTTTGCGTGTCGATTCATTCCGGAACTAGAATTATTCCGTTTTTTATCGTAATTTCTCAACATGTCTACTGCATGTCCTGACCAAAAGCAGCTAAAAATCTTGTGACGAATTGCATTTCCACAGATGCGAGTTGAGAAAGAACTGAAGGGAATAAAAGGTCCTCTTGATGAAAGTATGACGACGTATAAGTGATTACTGGGACCGAGAGTAGCAGAAGAATAGCAATCCTCACGAAGATGGCATGTCTCCGTCCATCCTGGCTCAGTCCATTACCCTGGATATTGGCATCGAATCCGTCCCCCCATTCCCTTGTTGATCGTCTGAAAAATCAACCTAGGCAGCGCTTTGCACCACTTAAACCATCAGCACAGCTATCCAGTACACGCATTCCGTGTAATATTCATCACATTCGCGGTAAAAGCTTAGAGCCAACGTGGGGGCATCTGTTTCATCAAAACAGGCAAGTACTAAGGTGCGTCTCGCCGTTGTCAACGCGCCATCCAAGCTCTGCATGGCGTCTATGGCGCCCAAGACTACGATAGGATCATGCGGAATAACTTGCACTGGCTGTATGAGGTGGGAGGGACACGGAAAGCTAATACAAGGATGATGCAATCATGGGCGCAGCATCTGTTCAAGCAGACGTGGCTGTACGCACCTATCTACTTTCAATATGACCTTGTACCAGAAAGGCGTTTTAGCCGTGTCAGTGGACTGATTACCACGGAGAGGTTGGTGGCAATTCGAGAGGTGATGGAGAAGTGTGTGGAGGCATTGGCGAAGCCATTGAAGGCGGGTGAGATGCAGGAATGGGCATGTGGTTGTGCGAATTTTCTGGCAATAATGCATGAAAGTAGGGCGAATATGCCTAGAGATTGTGTGCAAGTGGCGCCTAGAAATGACAGTCAACCGATATCCGGTGAGCTACTTATTATTGACATGAGTAGTACTTGATGCAGCTACTCCATGCCTAATTCAGAAATGGCTTGTCTATTGCCTTCTTTCCTGCGTCACAGAGCTGTTTCCACCACATTCATACTTTCTACCACTGCCATGCTACCAATCGAGCGTCCGCGCTGCATCTGACGACATTACGAAGTGTCCGAGTCATGAAAATACTTTATTGTGCCTGTACCAAAGAACTTGAAGACTAGTAGCGGAGCTACTTGCCACTGATGTTGAAGTCGAATCGTGGAAGATTGTATTAACAATATGTAAGCGGACTGGGGGAATGGTGGTTGAATGCTGTCATATTGTCAGACAGTGATCAGTTAGTCGGTCACAAGTCAACCATTCCGTGCCGCAAACACGAACGGTCTCCGTTTGCACTTAGAACTGGAAGGGAGAGTAGCAATTCGACAGCTAATCCAAGTACTCATTTCAGTGCTGGTTTCTACAGCGTCAGTTTATTGCTCATTCCTCCGAGTTCGTCAAATTTGGGACAACCTTAACTGTAGGTGCTGAACACCTCGGTGCTTACCAATCCAGTGTAGCTTCAACGAGGAATGCGAAACCAGTTGATCCAACCACCCTATCTCCAGCCGATCCTGCTATCACATCGTCAGAAGTCAGAGCAGTACCACCGAGTTTCGATTCAACCGTGGGAACACCACCACCAACTCCAACACCGCAGGAAGTGTTCCTAGCTGATTCGAGGATGATTGTGTTTGCATTGAAGACTGCAAGCCTGTTCAATCTTTCGTCATGTATTTAGCTTATGTTGAGGTTGTTTAACATTCACAACCTTCTACCTGGCTCTCATGATGATTCAAGCATAGTTCTCGATGTTCTCCGCTGTTGCTACATATTTCTGCAACACTCGAGTGTTTCAAAGCCCGAGCGAAGATAATGCATCATCACTTTTCATCCTACTGAGGAGGCTCCAAGTTACCCTGATAAGAGGTAGGCTAACCGATAGACGACAGAGAATCTGATTCAACTTTCTGTGAAAATAAAAAACACCTTGGCTATTCACTGCTTTGAAGGATTCGTTTCTCCGGAATTCCACAACTCAGACTTTTTTCCACCTGCCTAAATTTCACCAATTAATCGAACATACAAACTTCAGTTTCAGAGCTCCTCAAATAGTACTTATTTATCCATTTTAAGCGGAACTAAGAAGATTTCACTCAATTCCATCTTGACCCTTTTCTAGTTAGCAATGCTTACATGCTACTTAAATTGTCATTAGTAGTTAAAACACTACAACACTCGCGATCATCTCCGATAGGTGTTAAGGGTGAATGTTCTGCGGAATTTTTCACTGTCACTAGAGTTTGTACAAGAAGTTAAAATAGCACTTTCTTGATGGTTGCTTTGAATGTTAGTTAAATGCATTGTTATGGTCATATTAATTGTGTGGATGACAAGATTCTGATTGGTCTGGCGTTCTAGGCTTTCAACCCTCAAGTATTTTTATAACAGAAAAATGCCTATGCAAAACACATTAATATTTATGATACTACTGAGCCATGGCACTCTAAACGAACAGTAAATAAGGACAAATGGAGTAGACGAGAGGATCCGGGGTAGATGATGAACAGATTAGGAGCAGATGGACCATTGATGGATGCTTAATGTGTACAAGAGGGCCAGATGTGTCTAGGATAAATAGGTTTAAAATGAACAAGGAGTGGATGGTTAAAACCATGATGAACAGACTTAAATGGCATAGAGGATTCCGAGGTGGGTGTATCCTAGATCACTAAGTGGATCAGTTGAAGGGGATCAAGACTGAATGAATGATTCAGAAGTGTATGGATTAGTCGAGAGAGGAAGGCAGGCCAGTACATGGGTCCATGGCGGGGAGGCAGATTACGATTACATAGGTCAGGTTAATGAATTGAGTGATTAAGGATAAAGAATAAATAAGCGGGTGTAGGCTATGCAAAGTTAGATATAAGGAAAAACAACCTTCTTTTTGGGTGGCAACAAATCTATACCATCGAATTCATGTTGCTCTCCATTCATACATGCATTGTTAAACATGTGATTTAGAATGCCGGAAAATTGCTAATCTATATAGAATTGACAACAGGGTGGCTGCATCAGTTAGCATAAAACACAATTACTGGTCACTTTCTTATTAATCCATGAATTCGAAAGAAACATTTTTAACGAAGGCAGCAGGTGCGCAATGGCCAATAAGAAGTCGACTTTCCCGAATGTTCTATTAGAATTGGTTGGAGGATCCACCAATCCAAAAGAAACACAAGACCACAACAACCAATGGGATGGTTGACACTAACGACTGAAAATGGCTAAAAGTTCTCTATTACACAGACAAGCTTTGACTTAAAATTAGAAAAGAGTAATTTTTAGTACTTGAAATGAAGGCTAAAGATAAAAATTGACTAATACTAATCCAGTCGCATCTAGATAAACTGTGGTAATGTCACTATGTATTATTAATTATCAACTAAAATGAAAAACTTAAGTAAATTCTCTCTCCAAAAATGGGTTGTATTTCAAGCTATATTGTAGGTTATTTTAAAGACACAACACTCCCCACCAACACCACCTATGCCACAAAGGGCA